TCAGAAAACAGGATTCCGATGAATTTTGCTTCGTATTATCGGAATCCTGTTTTCTGATTGGATGCAGAACGTCGTACGACGAAAATCGGATGCAGGGTGAATTCAGCAAAAATTGGCCGAGCGCGGCGTCCTTGGTGGGGTAAAAGTGGAGGGGCTGATTCTCCGTGTTGCGCGGGGCAATTTCCCATCATTGGCGTCCATTCGATATATAGAATAATTAATCGACAATAAAAATTTTACAGAGGAGGATAGTTCGCGCAGTTACAATTAAAACATAAAAACAATGACGAGGTCGGAAATGACGAAAATATTAACCAATATTCGATATCGATCATCCATCGGTATCGAACCATTTCTGTCTATGTTGGTCAGCTATGTTCCCAATATTATCAGATATATGCCATATCTTGCTGATGAATCACCTGGAAGAAGCACAAAATCGCTTTGGAGTATTCGTTGACCAGTATCTTGACTGGAACGTCTGGAGTAAGCAGACTGTCGTTAACTGTCGAAGTAAGTTGTTCGAAGTAGTTTGAGTTAAATCAATCAGCCAGCAAGTTTTCTGACATCATGGTTCTGATGCCAAAAGAGTCTGCGAAGCTAGTCGCCGGCTTGGCGAAGGATGTATTCATCGAGCAAGCAGGTGTAAAAAAACTGGCATTGGCGATCCTCGATGGTTTAAAGACCGGTAAGATCCGCGAGGGTAATTTCTCGCAAATCAGATTCCACCCCAAGCCCGACGATTCCAAGGCGGTGGACTGGATATTCGTGCTGGACACGTTGAACTTCTCATTTTGGACCGAGACGGGCGCGAAAAAGTGGAGCGTCAATGGAGAGAACGGCTACTTTGCGTTTTGTGCCGCTGTCAGCCGAGCCATTGACGAAGGAAAACCTATGTGGGATCCTAAGTATTATTCGCAGATAACGCAACAAGATGCAGATATCATTTTCCAAGGTGACAACGAAGTCAAAATTCCGCTTATATACAACAGAATTAAGGGCCTGCGTGAGGCTGGGAAAGTTCTGTTGGACAAGTATAAAGGCACATTTGTGGAATGTATCAAGTTGTGTAAAGGCTCAGCGGAGAAGCTGCTTCAACTGATTGTCAAGGAATTTGAATCGTACCGGGACGAAGCTGATTACGAAGGGCACAGGATCAGCATTTACAAGAGGGCTCAGATATTGATTGGCGACATCTGGGCCTGCTTCGAGGGACGCGGACTCGGCGAATTCCATGATATCGACAGCATTACGATGTTCGCCGATTATCGTATCCCTCAAGTGCTTGTACATTATGGCACTATGCGCTACAGTGACTCGCTCATGAGCAAGCTGAAATCCGACGAACTGTTGAAGCAAGGCAGCAGGGAGGAGGTTGAGATACGTGCCTGCTCAATCGAGGCGGTCGAGCAGGTACGCGACGAGGTGCGAAGATTGATCGCTGCCGATTCGAAATTGGGCTTGAATCCGTCGACGGATGTCAACGCGATTGTGATCGATCATTACTTGTGGGATTATCGGCGAGAGTATGCGCAAGAATTGGAACACATACCATTCCACAAAACAAGAACCATTTACTACTAGAGGATTGCATGGGATGCAAAAATATCGCCTAAATGGAAAAAATTAGGAAATTCCATATATCAAGTTCCAAAGAAATCAAATTACATCTGTTCCTTCAATATTCAGCTTTTTTTTATTATATTTTGTATTGTATTATGTATAAAATGCAAGAGAAAATGAAATAAAGTTAATTACATGTTCCAGGATAAACAGCTCTTTCAAACATTATATATAAAAAATTAGATAATTATTGATAAAATAAAATATTAAGATATCACATATTGCGATGTGATATTACATAAGAAAGATAAAAATATAAGATAGAAAATCAATTAACTATTTATTATGACAATAATAGGAGTATGTTTGATAAAGATGTTTATATGAATTATATTTTTCAAATATTGTTACTTATAAGATAAATCAGTGATTTAATTACCAAACAAGTAAACTGTTTTGTTAGGCTGTCTTCTGTCTTTTTTTTGTTATAACAGGGATAAAAATTATTAAATTACTGATATACTATAATCTTATATTTTATCATTATAATTTTATTATGGAAGTATTTTTAGGACTTAGCAGAAAAATATACATTGTTCGTGTTCATAGTTTCTTATAACATTATTCGTATAATTGTTATTTTTGAAAAATCAATTTTTTAAAATGATTAGTACAGTTTAATTACATTGAAAAATAAAGCTAATAAAAACCTATATGTACATTTTAACATGGTCAAATGGATTGTATCTCTTACTGTATATTACAGCTATAAGAACAAAATACAGAAATTTACATTTCTATCATCTAGATATAAGAGTTGATGGAATGAGATTATATAGAGATTATATAAAAAAATACTAATTAAAAATGGTTTAATTCATAATATGTATCATATACACACAGATCAGAAATTTCTTTCAAATATCAGCAATTATTTCATACACGTACATGGCTATTTATTAAGTTTTTAATAAGATTTTATTAAATTAAACAAAATTTCAGTTTTGTTCTTCTAATTCTAGTTTCACATGTAGATGAAATTAAACCTGAAATACAAAAATAGATGCAAATTTGTAATAAGTTACGTTTACATCACCAAAATGTGTATCACACAAAAAGTTGATTTTTTTTAAATACATACCTGCACAGAGATTGTGGTAGAGATGAGATTATAGGACCGTAGCCTTGTGAGTTATCGTACAATTCAAATAAAGGTGCAGCAACTAACTTATAATTTTTAGGTACAGCAAAGAGAGCTAAATATAAAAATAACAAGAGAGTAAATATATTTATAAGATTAATTAAATACATATACCGAAACTTCCGATTTGTCGTTATACCTTTCTCTTGCAACTGTACGAGAAATAGTCTCTTGTGTTCTTTCGGTTTTGTAATGTGTGGCGGCACGTACGGATACTGAGGTGGTTCAAAGTTCGGACGCCACCAGTTTCCAATTGTATCTTCTATAACCCATTCTTGCTTCACCCCGTCCTGTCGTCCAAAGGTCTAGAAAGCAATCCCATTTGCTGTTTAACATTGTACTATATTGAGCTTCAAGTAAACTATGAGAATAAAATACATTCTTCTTTTGTCAGTCTACTAAGAACATGGTTGCACAATATTTATTATATTTCGAGACACTTGCGGTGATCACCTAATAGCATCAATTCTAACAATATTCAGGTTTATCGACGATTGACATGTAGCTATAAGTCTCTTTAGAATAAAAAAACTGATATGGATATTCAAGAACACATGTACATTTTCTTTCACCTATAGCATCAATATAGTGTTCATATGAATACCTAATTAAGTAAAATCGTTACATATGCTAATAGTTTTAGTAAAGAATATAATAGAGATCATACAAATCTCAAGTTTATTAATGACAATTGCGAATGAATTCGTAGGCCTACATATTATGCCGATCAGATAATTTTCTCTTACAATAAAATTCTAAACCCTATTCGATATAATCGGTTTTCTGAACTTATAAATTTAAAAAATTCGCGATATTTATATACATTCTTCTTGTCACTATTTTACATTCTTGCATTTTATCTTGTCTCTTCTGTATTTCTCTCTGTGCTAACATATACACTATCGAAATAAGAACAATGTTCTTAGCCAACCAGATACAATAACGTGCGATATCTTTCAACATCGAAGTGTCCGGGCATGCAGCACGCCAAAAGTACAAAATATTATAAGAATAAAAGAACAAGCCCCTATGTGGAGCTACAGGCCCGGTTACATGAGTTCTACAAACGTTTGCAGGGTTTATACAATAATCATGATGTTTATAGAGACAATGTTACAATCTAACGATATAAAAGTGCCACTCCTAGCCAGCCTGTAAGGCAGCGTAAGGCGTCGTGTTAACTGTTACCTCTGTAAGGAGCCGTTTTAGGCCCTCTACCTCATCTTCTCCTGTATTGAGTTCTCCGCCAGGTCTGGAATAATATAAAAAAGGAAATGTACAAAATTCAGTCATTAAAATGAATCATTTTTCAAATACGTAATTTATAAATTCTCGAAACTTACAATTTGAAGAATGTTGTGCCAAGTTGCAGAAGAAGAACGTGTGGAAGTCCATGCTCATGTACCAATAAGACACCTTCTACGCTTCTCCGCATGCCGATCTTGTCGAATTCATCTCTCATGCGCTGAAACCTTGCTGGTACTGATGGATCTTTCTCGAAGAGTGGCTCTTTTGTTCCAAATGTATAGTTTGTCAAAGGATATCTATGATAAATGAGTTGTATTCTTTTGTTAGGCTCCTGTATATGTTTAACTTAATCCATCAGTAATTAAATCCAGTTTCTTCAAATACAGCTTGATGCGATATTACAATATTTAATTACAGAAACTACATAAATATGCACAGTGTAACAATTTAAATTTTTTCGCTATTTTCATATTTCAATATTAGCAGTATTTGTTTTTTTTTTTTTTAATTTAAGCAGTAATGTGTATATAGACAGAGTGGTTCTTATTTTTTGATTTTTCGAATGTTTTTCACCTCACTCCCTAGAATAGGTCCACAATTCACAAAAAAATAATTTCTGTAAAATTTTAGCTTGATCAACACAATCCATGCCTCCAGCTCGCTAAACATTTGAGTTTTGTCATACTATGCTATCAGGATTGATTTTTATAGTGTATTTTCCACAAAAATCAGCCTATAGAGCTTTACTTTTTTTAATATATGTGTCTTGCTTTTCTACATCATTTGAGACTCCATTTCATTTAGAGCCACTTCGACCAACTCTGATGAACTTTAATCGACGGTTAGTCATTAAGCGAAATGACAAATGCGATTGGGCAATTTTAATGGCTTAATCGTCAATTAAAGTTAATCGGATTGGTCGAAGTGGTTCTTAAATAATTAGGCGAATTATTAATGTCTGAAACATAAAAAAAGGAGTTATTGCATTTTTTGCTTATTTAAGCTAGAAAAAATTGATTCATGGGCTAAAAAAGTGTTGGTAGTATGTTTGAGGGCAAAGCATGATGAATTTCATATTTTCATTAATGAAGCGATTTTTACATTTTATATTACATAATAATTAATAATTATATTATAATCGTAGTTATTAGTCATTGGCACTACCTCGAATAATTCCAAGTTACTAACAAAAATCTGTGAAACTTCAGTTCAATTCAATAAAGAAAATCCGTAGTTGTTTTGAATTTTATATGAATCGTTAAATCTTAAAATTCACTTATTATTAAGAAATCTGTATCTGGATTACACTGTTGTCATTATTTCATACATTTTTTGTTTAACAAGGTAAGATTCCTTCCCAAATCTATGTTCAGATTCTCACTCAAGTACCTCCCAGGTATTATTAAACTTTGTTAAACAATCGGTGAATAAGGATAAAATGATACCTGGATGGAACTGAAGTGAAAACACAGCCCTGAGAAAGAATTCCACTCGTTTTTTAAGATCTTCCTAGGAGGGGATCCCCTAGAAGAGGATCTTATATTGTTGAATAAAACATGTGGAATCCCTTTCCAGGGCCATGTTCAGATTTCCATCCAAGTGTCATTCAGTACCCTGACTCTGTAATTCTTAACAACAGTGTTGGTATCGTTATACTGTCGTTGCGGGTATTATAAATCGTAAAAAGTTGTATAGCGACAATACATCGAACTGTCGTTAGAAGTTACGGAATCGGGTACAGATATCATTTTATCCTCGTTGTTCACTGAATGTTAAACAAGCATAAAATGATTTTGGAATATTTGGGAGGCACTTAAGTGAAAATCTGAACACAATCCTAGGAAGGGATCATATACATGATTGAACTAAAATCACAGAATTTTTTTTTTAGTGACTTGGAATTTTTCAAGATAGTACCAATGACTAATAATTACGATTATAATATAATTATTAATTATTATGTAAAATGTAAAAAATTGTTTTATTAATAAAAATATGGAATTCATCACGTTTTAAATCAATTTTGCTCTCAAACATATTACCAACACTTTTTTAGCCCATGGATAAATCTTTTCTAGCTTAAATAAGCAAAAAATGCAATAACTTCTTTTCTCATTTTTCAGACATTAACAATTCACCTAATTGTTCAAATAAGACGTACGAGGACTCAAACAGATACAGAAAAGCAACGGACTAAACTGATTGTGAGTCGAAAAGTCCTCTATCATTTTGCAATTTTTGCAATAATTAACAAGATATTAATTACTAAAAATCGCTGAATATTAGTTTTCAATAATTTTTTATTCAAATACGATCAACTTTACAGAAAAGCGAGAGACAAAAATTGTTTATTTTTTAATACCATATTTCCTCATGTTGGTAAAAATAGTTGCCAATAAGGAAATGCAGTACTAAAAAAAGTTGATAAAAAATTCTTAGAATTCTATGAGAAGAAAATAAACAATTTTTGTCTCTTACAGTTTTTCTGTAAAGTTGATAGTATTTGAGGAAAAAATTATTGAAGACCAATATTCGGCAATTTTTAACAATTAATATTTTGTTAATTATTGCGAAAATTGCAAAATGGTACAGGACTTTTCAATACAGTTTAGTCCGCTCTATCTACACACGAGCGCTTTGTCAAACCTTACCAGATACTCTGTGTATGTTACACATAAAAGAAAAGTGCTATAAGCAGATTTTTGTAGAAAATATGCTATAAAAACTGAAGCTAATAGTTTAATATAACGAATTCAAATGTTTAAGCTAAATTTTCCAGAAATTATTTTTGTTTTATTAATTAATTTTTATTTTTTCATGGATTGAAACCATTCTAGGGGATGAGACAGAAAGAATTCGAAAAATCGAAAAATAAGGATCACCCTTATAGACAGATGTACAGATATTTAAATTAGAAAAAATTGTTTTATTATCAAAGAGCCTTTATTATTATTAAATATCACTTTGTTAATTAGAATACATTACATCAGGTACATAAAATTTTGTAATAAAAGAGACTAATTTTTTCATTTAGAATTTCAATAGGACAAAGTTTCTCCAATCGTCATTATATTATTTTTCTTACACGTTTGTTTTCTGAATTTGCAAAACTTATGCAGTTTAAGTATAATTATAAATATAGAACCAAATACTGATAATGCAATGTAATATACATCTAATATTACATTCCATATATAATGATAGTTTATTTGTCACAAAAATATCACTTTATATTCAGTTTTTACATACGCATGTATAAAACATTAGTATCTCAACACATCGATAAATTAAAGCTCTTCTACATTCACATTGAACACCTGTGTGTTATAATCAAATTAAATATAAATAACAGGCAAACATAATTTTGTTATTTGTGACATTACAATTGTATTTGCACAAATAAGTATTTTAACAAGTACTCAATAAATAACACGAATATTTCATTATAATCTTCGAATTCTATTATCATTTGCCATGCTTACAAGTATTACATATATTGTGGATTGTTTTATAAAATTATTTAAATGTCTCTTTAGATAAATTTTTCATCTCAATAAATATGACTTGATGTATCAGTCATACAACATAATCATATTGTAATAATAAGTAAAGCTTGTTCAAAGAAGATAATATTGAGAACTTTCAACAATAAAAAAGATAAGCTATAAATATTTGATAAATACATGCAAAAGTCTGCATGATGTCGAAATATATATTGACATATAAATATACTCTGTAACATTTTGACTTATAACACAAAATGCTGCAAATATAACATTAGAGATGCACATATATAATAAGAAGCATAAATAGTCATCTATATGATCATATAACGTACATAGATCTTGTGTACAATTGAGTTTGTTTTAAGAAGATTGGTATTGCCTTCTTATAACAAACTAGTCAGAATAATCGCAATATTTGTATCATATTAGGTACTATCTTAAAATGTAATATAACTAGGTGTATATATATAATTGTGAACTACTTCGTACAATGCAGTACATATGTATACATATAATACATATAGATATAGCATATCTTACATAAAATGGAAGAGTGAAATCATGAATAAAACATATACAGGGCTTCCCTGGCGATCATACAAACTTAGAAAATAATACAGCCTTGTTAGAATCGTTCGAGATCTGCGGAGTGCGAAATCTTAAGATATAAATTGCACTTTAACAATTAAAACGAAAAGAAAAGGGACACAACGGGTTGCCTCTTTACACACAAGAATCAATAACTGATTCCTTGCATTACGAATGCAAAGGCATAACTGAAAGTAATTAGACTTAGTTTATGATATCACAAAAAGGAAACAATGCTCGACGCTGCGCGCAAAATTGAATGACGGCAAAATCTCGCGTAATAGTTCGTGTGCGACGCTATATCATCTAAATTGGAGAATCTTAAGCAAATGGTACCATCATAAATCATACTATCTATCGTGTACAAGTCACAGTAGCTTTCCACTGTAAACAATGCATAGCGCTTGGTATGTGAAAAACGGATACAAGTTGCTTAAAATTCCTCAAGAATCTCAAGGTAAAAGGACAAACGGCCGATCGTTCATCGCGACAGGAGAGAAAGAGATAGTTCCTTTCTTTCATTTTTTTTTCTCTTTTAGGAAGACGTGATATTGTTAGCGCGTCTGCCGAGATCGGTCGTGGTCGTGGTCGTTTCTACAGAAGAGAGGCGATCAAAACACAATTAATTCTAAATAGATCTCGCGCGTCACATTGCGTCACTTACAAATTAACGGTCCTGTTGATGGTAACCGATTGATTCTGCACCACCTTCCCCTCGAACGAACTGTTGCTCGCTCTCCGTGGCCAGCCGCTGCCCTTAACTTGGTTCGTCGCCATTGCCATTTTCAACCCTTCAGGTGGAAGCTCCCGGTTGTTCTTTAGCAATTCGTACCTCTGAATTGTTCTAATTCTAAACTGTACTGATCGCAGGCACCAGGCGATACCGCAACGCAATGGAATATGGAGTAATGGAGTACGGATGGACGCCGATACCGCGCGTGGCGCGACCACTACCCCCATTCCCCAACCACCCTCACTAGATCATAAGATGGTCGACCGGCTTTTATGGCCACTTCCAGTCCAATAAATAAATCCTCTTATGCAGGGTCTACAATAGAAGTCGTAGCGCTCGTAAGGGCTTAAGTCCTAGAAAATTGACCAATCACAGTTGATTATTCTTCTCATATTCGACTGTGATTGGTCAATTTTCTACGATTTAAGACCCTACGATTGCTACGACTTCTATTGTAGACCCCGCATCACCAAAGCTCAGTTAACTTAACGGGGCCAATTAATCCATCGGAATTGACCAATCTGTCAATTCTTCAAACAAAATGACAAATGCGATTGGTCAATTCCGATGGACTAACTGGCCTAGTTAGATCAACTGAGCTTGATGCAGTGGCCCTTAAGGTACCTTTTCATACTGACGCTCGACGCTCATTTTCGGCGTCAAATCACATATAAATCTCGTGATAGAAATTGACGAATATCAAGTATTAATTTTGATCACGTGACCTATTTTGACGCTGAAAATGAGCGTCGAGCGTCAGCATAAAAAGGTACCTTTAGGGTGTAACTAGGAGATCGATTCTGTATCTTGAAACGAGATGAAAATTACAAAAATGAGCAAATTTACTAGAATATTGATAATTTCATTGGTCAACATCTAGTAAATTTGCTCACTTTTGTCATTTTTACCTTGTTGAAGATACAGAATCGACTTTAAGGCCTGTATTCATAGTCAGACCTTGTACTTAAGGCTTCCTTAAATTTATCTTTAGATGCTCAGTAGCCAATGTAATAATTCGTAGAGCATCTGAAGATAAATTTAAGGAAGCCTTAAATATAAGGCCTGACTATGAATACGGGCATAAGTGCAGCGATCACAGCAACCTCAGCTAATCAAGCAAACTCACTAGACCAATGGCAGCATCGAGTAACCTTAGGAAGTTTGTCTGATTGGCTGAAATTGCTGTGATCCTACACTCGACATAGGCCAATGCAATTGGCCTACATGGGCCCATGGTGTAATAAAGAAGAAGTGTGTCTCTCTGTTGTCCAAAATATTGGACAAAATCCAAACAGCCAATGACAAACTAGCTGCGTAGTAACGAAATTAGAAGTTCCTCCTTTTTATTTTTTAAGATTCTTTTTTATTATAAGTTCCTTTCCTTTTATTTTTTTCTATGGGAGTTTTCTTTTTGCTCTAAAAGGAAATTAAGAGATTGCTGTATAATTGAGTCTGCAGTCAGAAACATATTTATTTTATAATTATAAAATAAAAAAGTTGATAGAATATTGTAGCCCTTGTTTATTAGCATATTATAGCTTGCAGCACAATCTTTGCGGTGTTGAATTTTTTGCATTTTCTATCTTTTCTCTTTCTCCAATATAATTGTAGTGCAGCCACAAAGAACAGACTTCATGTCAACAATGCTCTAGCAAGTCAGGTTGGGTTAAGTGATAACACTGTCGATAGGAAGCGTCTTTTTGGTTTGCCACAGAAATTTATTTATAATTAATAAAATAAACGCTAGTTAGAAAACGCTATCACAGTTTTCTGAGACATAACATAGTAACGATAAAATTTAAATTTTCCAATGAGGCAAGCGCTGTTTTGATGTTTATAGTTTGTATATCTAGAAGAAAAAAAAGGGAAGAGGAACATATGTGGACTTCTCGACGTCTTATTTCTGTTGTTTAGTCTTCTAAAATATATTGAAATCATGGAAACATGTCTGACCGACATCATAGAGGAGGGTGGTGAGAAAATTCAAATCAATCCTCCAGTCCAAATAATAAGGGTTCCAGTGAAACATGCCAATTTGGGAATACGAAGTCATGCCATGTAAGCTCTCATACAAAAGAATTATGCCTATTTATATGAAATATTTATAACATATTTATGAAAATTATGGTGATATACTTCACAGGGATATGAGCACGATGGTAGAACTTACATCATTTAGCACACTAGGAAAGATACAGCCCTTCCTAGTGACCATCACAACTACTGCAGCTTTGTTAGTAGATTTACATTGTCACCTAACGGACAAGGAAATTTGTGGCTATTTGGGTGGCAATTGGGATATTAATTCACACAGTAGATTTCTTTCTTAATTATGTGATATATATATATATATGCTTTCCAGCAAGGACATGGTGTAACACATTGATCATTTTATCTTTGTTTAACATTGGCAAGAGGCCTGTTCTCTTCAGATAAATCTTGCACTGTTCATCTTTTTTTTTCCATTGAAGAGAAAAAAAAGATGAAACATGCAAGAAGCTCAGCTAAACAAACTTAAGAATATAATAATTTGCTGTGTCATACTATGTTATTTGTGTCTCTTACTGGAAAGCATTCATAATTATTTCATCGTGTATTATTGATTTACTAAAAGATATATCTTGTAGATCTTTTTATAACGTGCGCGTTTCCATGTCGATACTCTGGTAAGGACAAATCAGCTGCTGCAGCCGTAGAGGCTGAAATCGCAAGAGCCATGGAGTGGAAACGCGTAACATTGGTAGGCTGGTATCATTCTCATCCACGTTCTCATGCATCACCTTCTTTAAGAGATGTGGACTCTCAGTTGGATTATCAGATTAAGATGAAGGGACCTAGTGATAATGGATACATACCGTGTGTAGGATTGATATGCTGTAAGTATTTTGAATAATTTCTTTGTTGTGCAACATACCACTGAATGATCATTTCATTCTATTTTGCAGCACCTTACAATATGGATGGTAATTGTTATGAATCAAATTTTAATGTCTTTTGGTCTTTACCGCCACCTGAAAACAGACCCCATGAATATCCTCGACCTATGCTTCTCAGTTACACATTATCGCAGGAGCACTTTCTCTCTCAGGATACATTGGAGGAAATTGTAAATGTTTTGTAATAATTAACTCGTTTCCAGCGTTTTTCTCTCCTATGCATAAATTAAATTGAATTAAAGTCCAATTAATCAAGATGTATATGTCAAAATTTGGAAATTAAATTATTAGATTCTATAAAAGATTATCTTATGTATTGTGTTATCACGTTTGTCACTGATATTTATTTTGTTTACTTTTGTAGAGAAGAAGTATAGAATATTATAAGAGTGACGGTGGCATTGACTTTACTGCCAATTTTAATGGTAATACGACGTATCTCGAACGTTTAAGGGTGAGTATATCACAATGACAAATGCAAATAAGTCCTCATTAATCTATATACTAATCTATGTACTAATCTATGTTAATAGTGTTCCTTGGCATCAAAATTACCCGGTCGAAACAGATCAAACAGCTCATATTGGGATGTAATCAGGGAGATGATATGTCCAGGCTCGGAGGATAGCAATACACCTGATTTTCTAACCATGAAATTTCCTCTGGTATCTGCCTCAGAATCGTTGGGGCCTCCTGGTGTAGGACTTACGGCCAGTAACGCAGCTGTTTTCCTTGCGCCGGTCAACTTCAAACCTGATGGAGGTGCCATAATAACGCCTACTTCCAAGCCGTTCGTATTACAACCGTCGACCTCCCGAGACAGCATCAAGAAGGACAATACCATAGGCCCTAACGACGCCGCGTCTATCACCCAGATCAAAGACGGAAATTCCATCGTGAGTTCCAAGCATATATCACCATCGGAGATAATACCAAGCTTCCAATCGGGCGAACTCACAGTGTCGGTGAAGAATGCGAAGTGCGACTATGATTTCGCACCTGCGGACTTCTCGAAACTACCGAATCTGATTGGTGATAGCAGTGCCAAGTCTCGAACAAATCCTGACTTTCCATTAGCGGATATCACTCAACAGATTACAAAATTTCCGGATTTGACGAAGCTGGCGAATTTTCCTACTACCGATCTAGCGAAGTTATCGGGGTTCTCCATCGCAGACTTCACAAGAACTTCATCGCCCTCACCGTCCACGTATATGCGCAATATTGCGAATCTGTTCGGTCCCCTTGGCAAGATCTCACCGGCAAAGGACATGGACGGTAGTGAACGAAAACCGGGTGATTTCGTCACTGTTGACGCGATCTCATCACCCTTTAAGAGTATCAGCACATCGGAGGTTTGCAGAAATTTCTCGGTGAGCGTTGACGATTATACGAACGATCGAAAGAAATTGGATTCACAAACCGACCCGACGAAGATCGGCAGGCCGGGCGAATATCAAGGAACAGAGGATTTGACAATATCGAGCATTAAATCTGACTTCGGGAATATGCTGGACATGACAGCGTTGCATAAAAAGCAACAATCATCGCAATCGATCGACATGGGAGATTCATTGAATCTTTCTAAAGATCGGTAAATTTGTAAAGTATATACTCGAATTATTGTACTGATAAAGAATCATTCTAAAATTTTTCGAAATTTGCCAATTTTCAAAATTGTCAATTTCTGGACATAGAATCAAGAATTGCGTGTATCTAAATATCGTTTATTAATGAGGTTCCAGGGGCATAAAATAATATTTACATATATTAATATTTACGCTTTAACTAAACTACATACATGTGAAAGTTATATAAAAATTTTGTTTATTTACTGAACAATTAATTTTGTTTGCATCTCAATGTGTAACTTTACATAAGTATTTTTGAATTCACATAATACTTATATAAAAAAATGGAGATTTTTATCATTATTTTGTAATACATTTTCATATATTTCTATTAGAGTACAAATTTAAAAAATATTACTTTTTTTATTGAAATAACTTTCGATCCAGATGGTAAAAAAAATTTTTTTTAATTTAGGAATGCCTCTATTTTTATAACAAATTTATTTTCAAAATTTGATGAAGTTCCTATATCAAATGACTGGAGAATCTCTTTAATAGCTTTAAAAAAAAGAGCATTATTGAATGTGTTGAAAATTCACATGGCATAATGTTATTTTAAATTATTTTGAATTATTTTAGATTTTATTAAATCAGTATTTTTTGTAACATATAAGAATGTACTATGTTGCTAATACTATTGGTGATAAATCTA